CTAACCTTGTTATGTACATATGTATGTAGTTGAAGTAGGATATCAGAACGTATAAGCGATATTTATTTCAAATTAATTAAATTTCTGATAAATGTTTATATATCTCTTTTTTAGTTTCAGCCTCATTCTTCTTCAAATTTTTAATCTATACCAATAATATTGAAATAAAAAAAATGCATTTTTATTTTATATTTTAATCAATTTATTTATTGATAAATGTTTTTATTTATTCATTCATTCTTTTATTTTCAATTTATTTTTATTACAAACTATGTATGATTTATCATACAATAAATATGTAAATAACACATACTCCTTTTTTTGCTGGTTTTTGTTAAATTTAATACCTAAAAAAAATGGAAATTATGTGGAAACATACAGTTTACATAGATACTTACACATACATGCATATGAATTTTTAATGTATTTGTTTAAATGAAATAAATGAAAGTTTTATATAAAAAGAAAGTAATTGCTTCAATTAAACATTACATTGTCTTTAAACTTTGTGGTTGCATTTTAAATGTGAATCTTTTTAATTTTGAATTGTATTTGAAATAAAAGAACAAAATCTTTTTAAATTATTCGGCACAATAAAAATTTTGCAAATTTAGTAAATCAATTGTAAACTTAAAATCTAAACAAATATTTTTGTAAAGAAAAAGTAATGAACAATTTCCTACTCAATTAGAATAAATATAATATAATTCCTCTAAAGTATCATTACATACATATGTACATATGTATGAATTCCTTAAAGTATTTAGTTTATGAAAAATGTTTTCTAATGAATTTTAAATCAAATCATATCAAATAACATAAATTCTAAATGAATATGAAATTTTAAAGAAACAAAATAATTTGTTACAAAAAAACATTTTTAAACTTAAAAGAATACTCAAAACTTTGTTAGATAATTTTTAAAAAAATGTTGTATTCATATGTATATAGTTATGTTTGTATCTATGTAATTTTATGAATATATCTTAATTCCATTACTTTCATTTATTCCTTTTTTATTCTAAATGTAAAGATAATCTTAGAGAATTATATCCAATTACTAGTTTAGAGTTTCTTAGTTATGCATCTAAGTAAGTAATTGTTGTTGTTATATTTTAGATATTTTTTTTTATTTCATTTGTTATTATTACTTGCTTTTATTTTTAACTATAAATTATATTTTAATTTCTACAATTAAATCGTACATACAAAACAAATTAATGTGTTGTTTCTAGATAACGAGCGAGTAGTTTGAGCACAAATTTTACTTGTATTTTGTTATTGTAACAAAAACAAAATACAAGTAAAATTTTAACTCAAACTACTCACACGTTATCTAGAAACAACACATAAATTTATTTCACTTTGGTTTTTCTATGTATTTTAGTTGTTTTATTTATATATGTTTTTGTAGTATTTAATAATAATTAGTTTACAATTTCCTGTATAGTATGAAATTAAAGAAAAATTATATTTATGTTTCGGAAGTATTGTGTTATAATTTTAGAAAAATTATTTGTTATTCTGCATCGGATTTGAGTTAGAATCCCAGAAAAAAAATTTGACTTGTACTTACTCAACAACTTATTTTTCAATGACTACTATATACTGTTTGCATTACTTAGAATGAGCCTAATAATAACTTACAAATAATAATATATTATGTAAGTACTTACATTTCAGACTTGACATATTGTTTTCGAAGGTTGTTTTTAACACAAACGAAAAAAAGGATTTTTTTTGTGAAAACTAATAATAGTCTCAGAAGCAAAACTACTTATTAAACTTCTTATTTGCAGGTGAACGTAGTTCTTACCTAACTCCCTATTTGTAAGCGAGCTTGATAATTCCATCCCCGTTTTAAAATAATGATTTAAAATGCTATTGTGTAAGTTAGTTTTAGCATTTTAACTGCGTACTTTTGAATGTAAGTTTTTGCTGGGACATTAAGAAAAAAGCGTGTAATATTCGGTAACGCTGAGTCTGTATCGAAACATGTATCCTAAGTTTAAGGTGAATTTCGGAAAGCATTCCTATATATGGACTAAGTACTTAATAGATCAATTCGTTCATCAATAAGCTTAACAGAATTGGAAAGAGTAAATGATTTTTGAGAATGGTTAGTATACTTATTTTTCAATGTAAGTTTTTGCTGGGACATTAAGAAATAAGCGTGTAATATTCGGTAAGGCTGAGTCTGTGTCAAAATATGTATCCTAAGTTCAAGGTGAATTTCGGAAAGCATTCCTATATATGGACTAAGTTCTTAATAGAACGATTCTACCGTCAATTATGTACTTAGCTTGGACCACTTATGGAACAAGCTCAACAGAATTGGAAAGAGTAAATGATTTTTGAGAATGCTTAGGATACTTGTTTTTCAACGTAAGTTTTTGCTGGGACAAAAAATAGGCGTGTAATATTCGGTAAGGCTGAGTCTGTATCGAAACATGTATCCTAAGTTTAAGAAGAATTTCGGAAAGCATTCCTAAATATGGACTAAGTTCTTAATAGATCGATTCTTCTGTCAATTATGTACTTAGCTTGGATCACTTATGGAACAAGCACTACAGAATTCGAAAGAGTAAAAGAAAGAAATACGCCTTGGCCACTATCGGGCCTATTGTGCGCTCCTTTTCATGAAAAGGAAAAAAAAAATGTTCACTGAATCTATTATTTTTCAATGTTCAGAAACTTAGTTTCTTGGACGTAATTCCTAAGAATTTTTCAATCAGTGTTAGTCAGGAATGTTATTTCCGGAATAACATCACTTCCAAGATACTTGGATCTATCTTCGACGAATGCCTGACAGTGGCAAAGAAAGTGCTCCTGTCCTCCTCACATGCTCTACATTCGTCTGAATCCGCATGTCCAATTATGTATAGATGTGCTCGTAATCCTGTGTGTCCATTCAGAATACCTTTATATATATTTCGTTTTGCTCGCATCTGGGTCACCCCATAGGATTTTTGTGGTTTTATTAATCGTTTCATTATTCCAAGAGGCCTTATGGGATTCTTTCACCCATATTTTTCATTCAGCTTTTTTTGCTTCGAATGGTTTTGCATTTGTCAGGTTAACTACATCGAGCTTCCTTCCCTTTAAAGCTATTATATTCGCCCTTTCTTTGCCGACTACTCTCGAGTGGCCTGGTACCCAGTTAAAATATTCTTTCAATCCAGTACTCCCCCCGGGGGCTTGTTACCTTGGTGAAATCTCCATCTTGGTGTTATTGCAATATCCCGGGGAAAAAAGATGCTACCAATACCTCTAGTCTGCCGGGACTGCCATATATGTCTGGATTCTCTCTCCGGTGCTGTTGCCATCTTAACAGATGTCACTCTTACTCTTCGCTTAGTAGATCGCTAGTATAGGTTGGGGAATTGACACTTGGTAGTTGCCTGTCATTCCATATTATTTATGGTCTGAGAATGGAACTGATGTAATTGGTAAACGATCGGACAAGACTCCTCTGCCCGACAGGAGACTAGTACTGATTTAGTAGACCTTTTACTGCAGGGAAATTCTCGGTGCTGTTGCCATCTCAACAGGATTCATATTAATTCATGCTACGCGACTTATGGTTGAGGCCGACCACTAAACTTGTCGGGACAACTATTGGGTTCGAATTGACTTTGGAAATTTATACATCCTTTGTCCCATTATCTGACATAAAGAGGGATCCTGATTTATTGGCTGGGTATTTCGGATTATCAAATACACCTCTAGGTGCTGTTGCCGAATCAACAGAACCATTTCAGGATTGCACTAGAATGGGTCATTAGTTGATGCATTTTGCATTTTAAATATTGCAATCTTTCATGACATCATAAGGGTGGTCACCTTCCGGTATACCGAAAGATAGATTTCACCTGATGTTCTTCTATTGACTTTAGACAAGTGATCGCTTTTTTCTTGTAGAGGTTTGCATTGAAATTGATCCCATACTGCCTGTCATTCCGCAATGGGGCTACTATGACAAGAGATTAGATAGCTCGAGTACTTCAGCAAAGTGCTTGTGCATGGAACGGCTCAGCCATGTACAAAAATTGCCACCTGAGTTCTTCATAGAAGGATTCAGGGGCGCGTGGTAGACCGTCTGAAGTCTACCCAGTGGGTGAAAAGACCACCGTGAAATAAGCCGTCAAGGCAGGTGTTCACGTTAAGCACTTAGACATCTTACAATGCAATACGGTCTTAGATTTAATTCTATCACATGATTTTCTAATTAAGATTACATATTAGCTTCTACTATTGAAATCAAATTTAAATACCTTGTTTTGTATAAAGGTTATTTAAAAAATAGTTTAATGTCATTAAACATTCAAAGCCATTTATCTCGAAATAATTTTTTTGGGAATATTAAAAAAATAAACTTTTTAATTAATTCGGAATTTTTAAACATTTTCTATAAATTTTCGATTGAAAGAAATATTTTAACCAATAAATGTATAAAGAATTTTCTTGTTCATATGAAAATCTGACACAGAACAACAAATTCAATAATCTACATTTATCTTTACCTATTTCGTACTTGAAGTCCTTTCTTATTTTAGTTTTAGTTTTCAAATGCGAATTTTATATTTTTATTTCTAAACTATAATATATTATTATCCTAAATACTTTTATTTCTTTTAAGTTTAATTAGTTTTAATTATATAAATTTACAACTTAATTTTAGCTTAAATAACTAAAATTATAATAAAACTAAAAGTTCTTTTCAGTTATTTTAAATAACTTTTTTGAATATTTTCTAAATTGTTTTTTTTTTGTTTTTCACTTTTTTTTATAAAAATAACAAATAAATTATATTCATTTAATTACTTTTATTTTTTTAAGTATTTCAATTAAATTACTAATTTTTTTATTGTGTAATTTTTTTTTCGTTTTAAAATTATTTGTTTGTTTCACTGGAACAATTTTTGTTCGTTTTAAATTTCACTTTTAATTATGTAAAATAAAAATTCTTTACAAAATTCTTGTTTTTTTTGTCCATAACATTTCAAATAAAGAGAAAAATTTAAATGAACACAAATATTTTTGCAAAACTATTTCTTTTAATAAATACTTACACACATAAGTTGCACGTAATAATTAAATCTCTAACGATTTATATGTTCTTTTTGTCCTTTTGTTGTTTTGCAAATAAATTATAATAAATATGTTTGCATATGTATATAAATTATTTTGCTAATTATTTCGAGGAAATATCCTTGACTTTATGGCCATGTTAAGTGTCTAGAGTTGTTTTTGTGTGATATATTTAATTTTATCTATATATGTAGGCGGGTAAGAGTAAAAGTAATATCGTTGCCAATAACAGATTAATTAGCCAAGTTTGATGATTCAATTGCTGCCAAGCGAAGGCCGCACCATGATGTAATTCGGCAAAACTTTCACCTGTAATACAAAAAAAAAAAAAAAAAAAAAATCGCAAGAGATTTAGAAAATGGGGTATAATTAATTTAAGGTATAATTAAATTAAGCCAAGATGTTCAAAACAAATTGCACAAGTAGAATGAAGAGTGCAAGAGATTAAGGGCCTGCAAGGATAATTGAATCATTTACACAAATTAATTAAAATCGAAATGAAAAAAGCCGAAACATAAAAGTGTATTTATTGCTTATTGATTTAAAATTTTTTATAAATAGAGAATTTATCGAAAACTTTCTATAAAAAATAATTTATCAAAAATTGTCTATAAAAAGGGAATTTATGGAAAATTGTCATAAAGAGAGAATTTATCGAAAATTGTCTATAAAAAGAGAATTTATCAAAAATTATCTATAAATATATAATTTATCGAAAATTATCTATAAAAATGGAATTTATTGAAAACTGTTTATAAAAGTATAATTTATTTAATATAATTTATTTAATAAATTCTCCTTTTATAGAGAATTTATCGAAAATTTTCTATAAAAAGAGAATTTATCGAAATTTTTCTATAAAAGAAGAATTTATTGAAAATTTTCCATTGAAAATTGTTTATAAAAATTGAATTTATCGAATATTTTCTATAAAAGGAGAATTTATGGAAAATTTTCTATAAAAAGAGAATTTATCGAAATTTTTCTATAAAAGAAGATTTTATTGAAAATTTTCCATAAAAAGAGAGTTTATCGAAAATGTTCTATAAAAACAGAAATTATCGAAAATGTTCTATAAAAAGAGAATTTATCGAAAATGTTTTATAAAAAGAGAATTTATCGAAAATGTTCTATAAAAAGATAATCAATCGAAAATTTTCTACAAAAAGAGAATTTATCGAAAATGTTTTGTATAAAGAGAATTTATTGAAAATTTTCTATAAAAAGAGAGAATTTATTGAAAATTTTCAATAAAAAGAGAATTTCTCGAAAATTTTCTATGAAAAGAGAGTTTATCGAAAATTTTCTATAAAAAGTGACCTTATCGAAAAATTTATATTAAAAGAGAGATTTTATCGAAAAATTTCTATTAAAAGAGATACCTTATCGAAAAATGTCTATTAAAAGAGAGATTTTATCTAAAATTTTCTATTAAAAGAGAGATTTTATCTAAAATTTTCAATAAAAAGAGAGATTTTATCGAAAATTTTCTATAAAAAGAGAGATTTTATCGAAAATTTTCTATAAAAAGAGAGATTTTATCGAAAATTTTCTATAAAAAACAGAATTTATCGAAAATTTTCTATAAAAAACAGAATTTATCGAAAATTTTCTATAAAAAACAGAATTTATCGAAAATTTTCTATAAAAAACAGAATTTATCGAAAATTTTCTATAAAAAACAGAATTTATCGAAAATTTTCTATAAAAATAGAATTTATCGAAAATTTTCTATAAAAAGAATTTAACGAAAATTTTCTTTAAAAAGAGAGATTTTATCGAAAATTTTCTATAAAATAGAATTTATCGAAAATTTTCTATAAAAAAAGAATTTAACGAAAATTTTCTTTTAAAAAGAGAGATTTTATCGAAAATTTTCTATAAAAAGAGAATTTATCTAAAATTTTCTATTAAAAGAGAATTTATCGAAAATTTTCTATTAAAAGAGAATTTATCGAAAATTTTCTATAAAAATTGAATTTTTCGAAAATTTTCTATAAAAATTGAATTTTTCGAAAAATTTATTTAAAAAGAGAATTTATCGAAAATTTTATGTAAAAAGAGATTATGGAAAATTTTCTATAAAATGAGAATTTATCGAAAATTTTCTATAAAAAGAGAATTTGTCGAAATTTTTCTATAAAAAGAGATTTAATCAAACATTTTCTATTAAAAGAATTTATCGAAAATTGTCTATAAAAAGGGAATTTATCTAAATTTTATGTTAAAAGAGAATTTATGGTAAATTTTCTATGAAAAGAGAATTTATCGAATTTTTCTATAGAAGGAGAATATATTAAAATTCTATAGAAAAAAAAATTATCGAAAATTTTCTATAAAAACAAAATTTATCAAAAATTTTCTTTAAAAAGAGAATTTATCGAAAAAAAAGTTTTTAGAGACAATTTTCCGAAAAAATTGTATAATAGGTTTTATCGATAATTTGTTGTAATTTAGAATTTAACGAAAATTTTCTAAAAATTAAGAATTTTGCGAAAATTTCCCTGAAATAGAGAATTTATTAAAAATTTATCAAAAATTTTCTATAAGAAAGAATTTAGCGAAAGTTTTCAATAAAAACAGAATTAATAAAATAAAACTTTAAAAAGAGAATTAATCGAAATTTTTCTATGAAATGAAGATAATAATTAACTTTAATTTTTCATTAAACTTTTTAATGTTTTATCAATATTTTTATTAAAATTCCTTTTGCTATAGCACATGCCTAAATAATGCTGAAATTTCTGTTTTATCTAATGTCTAATACAAAATTTGACTGCTATACGAAAATGTTGACACAAACATACACAGGTGATAAATGGAAAAAAAATTTAATAAGGCTTTTGGTTAATTACTCACATTGAAGTTAGTGCTATATTGAATACACATTTGAATGTGTTTAAATCACTTCAAACATTTGTAATCATACTTCCCATAAGATGACAGAATCGATACAGAGATAAAAGTGATAATAATTCAGTTTCAACAGATATGTAGAAATGCGAGGGTGGCTATTAAAAGTTTTAACATACAAAAAAATCTTTATATTCATATGCCATTAAGTTTAAATTAAAAGCAGCACTTGTTTTTTCAAAATATACTCGATCTATTAGTTTAAACTTTTAGAATCCCATATACTTAATAATGTGAATATTTGTTATCTTCACCTTATCAAAAAAGAGATTAACAAACTTTTCGTATGAAAATGCCATAAACTTTGCACGTTAATCACAAATTCAATGGAAAAACAGCTTTAAGTCAATTCTAAAATGTGTTTACTCAGCAATTTGGTGGTTTAATTACAAGCTTAATTAAATGACAAAGCCTTTGATGAGTGTAATTATAAAATTAGAAGTAAAGCAAAAGGTTGCCTTCATATGCAGATATGTAGCACTGACATTTCTGCTTATAATGAGAATTTTGTGTTTAAATGAACAAACATTTTATTGCTTTAGTTTTACGAGAATAAAACTTAATTTACCCGGCAGTTCATTGAACTATAGACTGAAAAATATATAGATATAAATTTTCAATCTTACCTAATTTCACTGAAATATTACAATTACACATTACTGGGTACTTATATGAGAATTTGGGTTTCTAATGAAAACAAGTTTTATTTGCATGAAAATAAAGTCACGTTTGTATGCGTAAATATTTCAGTTTGTATAAATAAATAGCTGTATAAATTTTGTGTAAGCATTCTTTAGTCAAGAATATTTTTAGAGAAAAACATTTTATAATGGCAAACTATATCCCATAAAAATTTGATTCATGATTTTAGAAGAAAACGTTCTAAAAATTACGATTTCTAGAATAAAATCCACAAATATTCAATTCATAGAAGAAAATTTTTAGATTTATTAAAAGTTTTCTACCTATTTGCACCACTTTAGTGGGGATATTTGTAACGCATACAACTAATGGTCATATATCCACTCTACAGTATACTAATCAGTTCTAAGTCAATTAAGTCTGTCTGTGTGTCTGTCTGCATGGCCGTCCATTTTTATACCCAGCATCAAAAAAGCCCGTTTGTTCGTCCGTCTGTCTGTTGAAAACACTATAGAGTCCGAACGGAAGGAGGTAGTGGGTTTAAATTTTACACAAATATTCCCCATAGGTAAGGTTTGTTTGATATTGAAAATGTGCAATATTGGTCCACGTTTTCGCATATCCCCCATACAAGTGTTTTAAAATAAGGGTATAGCAATGAAATTAGTCATAAGTAAGTTTAATATGAGCCAGAAGGTCTCTACCAGATTTTATGAATTTTGGTCCATAATTGACCCTACTCTTCATATAAGGCCCCTTCAGAAAATTACTTAAACGCTAATTACTGGTATAAAAGTGCTAGTCTATAATTGAACCAACCGCCCATATACATATGTTCATTAGAGTGTCCCTAGGAACAGCCTTATTTAGAATTTCATATATGAATACCTCTCAATCGATGCGTATTAATGTACTGAACACAAACAAAAAAATATTTTTTTGGAATGGTCCTCAGTCCCTACCAGCAATTGAAAATCCTGACCTCGAAATCCTTCGACTTTTTCGAAAGGGGTCTTAAAAATTTCATAATTTTGATTTGATTACGGGAAAAATAATATTAAAATTATTGTAGAGTATTTTTGGACCATTCCCTTCCTTTTACGGCATATGGTTCAATGATGGGTATATAAGATTCGGCTTAGCCGAATATGTATAATACTCTTATTTGTAAACCTTGTAATCAAACTAGAGGGTGATATTTTATTCGATGAAATTTGGTACACGTATTACTTTTGACCCAAGGACGAACCCTATTCCGAACCCCAAGTATACCAGACGGCTTCATTTTGTGATTCGTCCATCTGTCTTTGAACGTGCCTTTGACTTATAGTCAGTCGGTCCATCCGTCTATCTGTGTGTCTGTTTCTTTGTCCGTCAATCTGAAAACAAGTAAGAAACTATAATCGGGTGTGGTCGACCAATGATACCCTACACCAATGGCGAATATTAAATGTGATTCATTTTCAATAATAAAGCATTTATGTTGAATCTTCGGTCATGTACGGTTGTGTGCTGACTAGGAGAAATAAAAGACATAAAAGATTTTCAGCAGCCTTCGTCATTGGATCCAGAGAAGAGTATGTGACAGATTTTAACAAATTATATTGAAAATTGTGAGCTGTAGCGTGCACACAAAGTTTACACGGTCACAAAGACGGACATAGCTAATTCGAATCAGAAAGTGATTCTGAATACTAAGGGAAAAATATTTTTGAGTGTTATTAACATCAGCATATTGTGCGAATTTTTGGATAGATAGTAGAAAATTTAACATAATTATAAGGTCAAAAGTCCTTTTCGGGGGGTTAGGATCATACAGGCAGTCAGGCATTCGTCCATTTTCAATAGCATTCGTCCTTGGACCAAAAGAAGCACACGTTCCAAATTTCATCAAATTATCTCGAAAATTCTCTACCTGTAGAGTGCGCACAAGTTTTACATGAACACACAGACGGACGGAGAGACGGACATTGCTTAATCGACGGAAGTGATACTTTAAGGTGGGTGTAGGGTATAATCATATTGCCGATTTTCGTATATAGTAAATTTTCGATAAAGACATTTATTTAAACATCATTGATCATTATTAAACGCGCTGTGTTAAACATGTTTTGCTTACTTAAATTTAAAATGTGTATCTGTTTCATTGTAATTGATTAAGCTATAAAAAAGTACATTTTTATACATCCTTTAACAAGAATAATGACTTATGAATATATTACAAGGATTCACTATTTTTTAAGTTAATAAACTACTAAGAATGTCTTAGTTCTTTTGTATCGCTTTATTCATGTGTATAAAATATGTTAGTTTCTTTATATTAGTCTATTCAACAATTTATCATAAATAAATGTTACAATTCAAGCAAATAATACATATGTATCTGTTTACAATTCTTGCTAAAAATAGTTTCACAGATTTAAGCCAAACACATAAACACAATTTGTATAAAGTATCTGTTTCACCAAATACATACATATAGTGTAGTGAAGTGAAATGTGGTGTGAAAACCCTAATTGTTTGGTATTTAGTTTCTCTTACTCTGTTTCGCAGTTTACCAAACACTCACACACACTATTATATACTATTTCTATAAGTTGATGGAAAATGCTAAATTGATTACAATCAATAGTGACAACATATACACATATGTATATGAATGTAGTATGTATGAGCAACTATTTGGATAAATTCCCCTTTTTTTTAGTTCTCATCCAAACTTTAACATACTCCCACACACATCCAGTAGAGTAGATTTTCGTTGCGTTGAGTGTTTTTTTCTAAATAAATAATAATAAAATGCCGTTACTTACCATTGAGTATGTGTACAACGATTGTATAGTTTTGATATTCACTAATTGAGCACGTATAGTTACCGGAATCGGCTTTATTGATTTTGGCAATGAATAATGTTGAATTGGCGCCATCATCCATCAATTCTGTTTTCACACTACAAGTATAACAACAAGAGCAATAGCAAATAACATCAAATGAATGAAAAAATATAAATTGAATAAAATTAAATAAAATTTCGCAAATTGGGATACACATACGAGTTAATTTATTTATACAAAAAACTCACATAATAAAATAAATATATATAAAATACAATAAATTAAATTAAATACGTATTGATGTGTATTTTTATATAGTTAATAAATTAATTAAATCATTAGTTAAGTTAAATGGAATTAATGTGGTTGTACATTTGGAAAAAAAAAAGGCGGCATGAGAAAGTACTGTTTTAAATTAAACCAACATTTGTAAACAAAATTTAAAAATATTTTATTGGAATTTAGTAAAGAGAGGAATCTCAAATCTCTTGCTTTTGCAATAAAATTTAAGGTCTTCCATATTTACAACATTTAACCTTAACACATTTTTCTTTAAAACAATAAATTTTCGAAATTTTCTTTACTTACCTGACACCACCCCTAGTAACATCATAATTTAAAACATCTTCACTATGTTTCCAAAACACCACCGACGATGACATGGCAACATTACGTACAACACAGGATAGCTGTAACGTTGAGTCTTGTTCATAATATTTCTCCTGCAAAGGATCCCCAAATTCATCAACAATCATTACTTTGGGTGCTGGAAACAAACATAATAAACCACAAAAACAAATTTTGTTATAATTTAAAAAGAAAATGTTTAAAATTTCTCGTCATCATTCTGCCTGCCTCAACTTTATTATAGACAAACTTACCGTTGACATGTAAATTTATTTGTATAACGCGAGGCGGATGTGTTGATATTTGACATTCATAAGTGGCCTCATCATCTTTCTTGACATTGTTGATTTTTAAACGCCAATTACTGGGATATTGAAATTCCATTTTGTAACGTTTATCACCGGTATAGGTGTGCAAACCCACCGTTAGTAAATCTAAGGCATTTTCACCTTGTGAATTGCGACGAACCCAGGAGACCTGTTGGTTAATTGATGGTGTTTGGTTTAGTTAAGTATTTAGGAAAAAATAATAAAAAAGTAAAACAATTTTATGGAAGTTAGCTCAACTATTAAAAAGTATATTGTTAAATATTTATGCAGTTAAAAGTTAAAGTGAGTTTAATATGTTGAGGTGGGAAGGTTTCCTCAGAAAATATAGAAAATTCTCTTCGAAAGAGATTACTACATTAGTCCATTATCGCTATAAACCTTAGAAAATCTTTACTTTTAAAAATTTTTGACATATGGTGTAAACCACAGTGGCATCGTATGTGTGAAAACAAAAAAAGTTAAGGCACTTTCTCCTTCTAAATTAAGTCCTTAAGGACAACCGCCCCATTTTATGCAACATCTTCTTAACTCAACTTAGTTTGACCCTTCTACAATGGCAGGTAAGATAAAATTGTTTAGAGAAAACAAAAAGTATTTACACCAAACAAGCCAAAGTGCAATCAAGTATATAAAAGACCTATTATGGCTTTGAAAAAAAATTTCCATATTATCAGAAGAAGGAAGTTTGTAAAACAACTGTCACCCGTTTACATGCAATCGCACACGCCTAAACACAGACATGCTAGCAACCAAGCAGCCAGCTTAACTCAAGAGTAAATACAAGAGTTTTAGTTTAAGCAGCAGACGGAGAACAAAACTTGTGAGTTTAGAAGATATAATGTGTTAGGGAAATGGACAAAGTTGCAACGAATTTAAAATTAGCTACGAGGGTTGGAAATTCGGTTTTGACATAAAGTCTTCATTCGAAAAACCTAATTTAAAAATTGTTAAAAATTTTAAATTAATGGAAAAAATTTATAAGTACCAAAATTTTTATAAATTCTCGATTTAAGGGAAGTTTACAAAAAATATCCTTTAAAGAAAATTTTCGATAAAGTCTCGATTTATGGAATATTTTCTATTAATTCTTAATTAAAAGAATATTTTCGATTAATTCTTCATTTTAAGAAAATTTTGCCACAATTCTCAATTTATAACAAAATTTTCAATTTTTTTATAAAAACTTTTTATTTCTGTTTAGAAAAAATGTTCGATAAATTTCCTTTTTTTTAATTTTTTCTATAAATTTTCTTTTTGTAGACATTTTTATATAAATGTTCTTTTTATAGAAGATTTTCTCGATAAATTTTCTTTTCATAAATGTTTTTTCTACAGAAAATTTTCAATAAATTTTCGTTTCTATAAAAAGTTTTCGATAAATGTTTTTTCTATAGAAAAATTTCGATAAATTTTCTTTTCTATAGAAAATTTTCGATAAATTTTCTTTTCTATAGAAAATTTTCTTTTCTATAGAAAATTTTCTTTTCTATAGAAAATTTTCTTTTCTATAGAAAATTTTCTTTTCTATAGAAAATTTTCGATAAATTTTCTTTTCTATAGAAAATTTTCGATAAATTTTTACTTCTATAGAAAATTTTCGATAAATTTTTACTTCTATAGAAAATTTTCGATAAATGTTTACTTCTATAGAAAATTTATAAAATATTTTTTCGATAAATTCACTGCCCATCTGTGATGGGTAGTCATCATTTGCGATGGGTAGTCATCTTGACGTGATGCAGATGCTTAAGCGCAATGATTTGTAGAGCCATACTGGAGGGAATGGCCAGCATAAGTTGGCTTTTCCTGGTAGGGTCACCCATTCCAGTCGAGTCTAAACTGAGCGAGAAACTAAGAACTACTCACCCTGTCTGATAGCGTCTGTTTTCCCTTTGGGACGGCTATAAGATGCTTGCCCAGACTATTCTCCTCTCACTGAGAGGGGTGGTCTTGGCCAGCTTGTCCGGCCGGTTCTATTAGAACCATGCACTTAAATGTGCATCGTCCGTCGGAATCCACTAGCGCCTGTTCCCATATTGGGCGACTGGTGGTCTGCGTCTGATTTCCCCTTTGGGGACGGCAGTTTAACTTACCTGGCAGTAAGTTAAAAATGCAAACGTCTCTTAGATAACAAATGGAGGATAAGAAGGTAGCATGCCCCGCGTACCAGGGCTTCATAATCTCTGGGGACCCTACTTCCACAGCGTCGGTAATGGGTCGAATGTTACTGTTACCCAAACTAGTCAGGCGGCCACACCGGGTCAGGCTAGTTTGCGAGCTACCGGCGTAGCAGGAGGTCAGTCTGATAAACCCAAGCTGGGTGAATGTAACAAATTCGATACTATTCGTAGTTGCACTACAAGCGGTGAGGTACCTCTGGACTTCTCTTCAAGTACCTCCAAAGCCGCTGCAGCTCGAACCGTCAACACGGTTAAAAATTCTGCTTCAGGTGGTGATGACAAGGGGTCGGCTAAGTCTTCTCTTCCATCATCTTCCCAAGTGCCAACTGTACCCTCATGCTCACGGTATACCCCCTGCTCAGTCCGCCAAACAACAACAACAAACGACTCGGCATAAAAACGCCTCCAAACGGGCGGCAATTACGTTGCGTTCCGCCTCTAGAATAATTGAGCAACTCGGGTCTAAACAACCTGAAGAACTCACTACGGTGCAAAAAGCTTCTCTCCAATGGGCCAAGACTCATAATGCTGGTGATGACAACGCTTCTCCTCCCGCTGAAGTGAAAACAGAAGCGGCGCCTAAACGGCAGCGTTCAGAGGAAGAGGCAGCATCTTCAATCCAGCACCAAGGGACGAAACGTCCAAAACGGACGCTATGACGCGCTCTTTTAGCGAGGTTGCTAAGGACAGTCTAGTTAGGGCTGTTATTGACCGCAGCGATGCCGGCGGATCCATATCCCAGTCTAACTGGGATGTGGTGAAAAACTCATGGGAGTGTTCAGGCAAGTTTTCAAAGATTATATTTTATATTTTCTTAATTTATGAAAAATTTTCTGCATATTTTATAAAACACTATATTTATAGAATATTCTCGATTCTTAATTTATATAAAAATGTCGTAAATTTAGTTTTTTAAAAAAATAAATTCTTCCAATAGGTAATTTTCAATAAATTCTCTATGTATACTTAAATAATTTTTGAAAGATTCTGAATTAAGAGAAAATTTTTCATTAATTCGATTCACCAAAAATTTCACTATATAGAAATTTCATGGTTTCTAGAAATTGTTCTACAAAATCTTCTTTGCAATAAAATAAATATCCAAAAAAAAGTTGTTTTATTTATAGTACACCATTTATCTCAACACTTAAAAAACTAATTTCATCAAATTCTATTAGTCCAGTCTTGTTTATAGACATTAATTTAACTCAAATTCTTGTCTCTACATAATGAATTTTATAATAAAATGTAATACACTTCTTGTCCATTATTACTCTCATAAATGATTCTTTGTATTCCTTTAATATTCACAAAGTTTATAAACAAAATTATACAATGAGTTCTCGTACAAACAAAGTTGTTAAGTAAAAAATGATTCTTTCTTTTTCTTTACATCTTCCCTTGTGGAAATTTTCCTTTTCCTTTTGCATCTGCAATGCAAGATAAAAATGTTCGCTAATCTCTAAGGATGGCTGCTTGCAACGCAATAACTTTTGACTGGTGGCAATTTCTTAGTGAACTTTTTTTTTTGCGTTATGTTGTTTGCAATTTTGTTTTCAGTCTTTGGATTTTGTAAAATTTTATTTAAGCCAAACATACTTACAGTCTTATCTTGAAGTAGAGATATTCTGCAATTTAAATGTATACTGCTGCCCGCTTGTACTGTCATATTGGTCGGTTGTCCCACCAGCTGAACATCTTCAAAGTGTGGTCCATAGCTGAGGAGGCATTAGCATAAATGTAAAAGAAAAGAGGGGAGAAACAAGAGTGTGGAAGGATATTTAAATAATTTTATTAAAAGAGTACTATTTTATTAAGGTAGAAAAATTGTTGTTGATATTAAGAGAATTTTAATTGTATTTATTATATATATGTTTATAGTAAAATATGCTCACTAAAAGCTTTGAAGTGAATGAATATGAACAAAATTTACTTCAACTTATCTGCCCACAGTGCGTATGATAAATATACATTTCTGATGAATTCACATATTGTTCATACGCTATATTTTCAATAATATCTTAATACATTTAATGACAAAATAAAATTTGCTTTAACTTATCTTTCCACAGTGCGTATGATAAATAAAATTTTTGATGAATTCATATACATATTGTTCATACGCAAAATTTTCAATAATATCTAAATTTTTAAATTTGATGAAATCTGGATTTATTCTTAATTTATGTTAATTTTCTATAAATAGAAACATTTTCTAGAAATTTACCAAAAAAAAAAAAAAAAAAAAACTTAATATGCTTCACTAAGAAAGCATTGTATTAAGTGGTGTTCTTGAAAATCAGCAAATCTTTAAAATAAATTAATTGCCTTAAAAACATTTAGCTGTATTGTTTGCTTGGTTGATTATAACCTTGTGCTTTAAAATGTTTTTATTTATTTTTTGTTTATTCTATACTTATTTAAATATATTAAATGTTACAAAACTAAAAATGTTAAGCTAACAACAACAAAAACTTAACTTTGAAAATGCTACTAAAATAAAGTACATGAAAGCTTTTGGCTTTGCATTTTAATAAACTTCCTTATTACATACTACACAATACAGATATATATTCTAGTATATCCTTTTCTTAATTTTTTGTGTATACATGTAAGTAGGTTACTTGTTTTTTTTTTGGCTTGTTAAACTTAAAGTTTTGTTTTGTGTTCATAGTTTTTTATGTCGTCTTTTTACTTATAAATTATGAAATATGTTTTATAGTTGTCACTCGTTTTTATGCCAGCGCATTGTTGTTTTGTACAGATTTAATAATTTAAACATTTTTACAACATGTATTTCATTTTAGGATTAAAAGATTTTGTAAGTAAAAGGTATTTTACAGAAATCAAGTAGCTTTTTCTTAATTATGAGATTATTAAAAATTATTTTCATTTAAATCTTAAGTAAATTTAATAGTTATTAAAAACTTTTTTTAAATTTATTTTTTGTGCAATTCTGAATGTACTCTCGTGCACATATTTCATCTTCTTCTATTGCTAATCTTTATAAAATATTTTTTTTAAGTAAAATTGTGCTCTTGAATATTGTGTGGCAGTAATTTACTGATGCCCTTGCTGTATATGAAATGCATAATTTTTCAAGTAAATAGTACACTATTCATACGAGCACTTAGGATTATCGTTGAAAACTTTTCATAGTAAGTTTTAACGCCTGTTTCGTTAAAATGCGGCATTTAAGAGTAAAAACTATTCAATTCCATTTTATGTTTACATATAGCTAGGCCCAGGCTACATTCTAGTCTAATGTACAGGATATAGTCTAGACCGAAGTACAGATTAGAGTTTTTAAAGTGGTTTACATATTGAATATTGTCAGTACTATAGAGTAGACTATAGACAGAACTGTAAACTATAGACTATAACTGGACTGGAGACTAGACTATAGACTACAAACTAGACTACAGACTACACTATGGACTAGACTATAGACTAGACTATAGACTAGACTATAGACTAGACTATAGTCTATAGTCTAGCCTATAGTCTAGTATATAGTCTAGACTATAGTCTAGACTATAGACTAGACTATAGACTAGACTATAGACTAGACATAGACTAGACTATAGACTAGACTATAGACTAGACTATAGACTAGACTATAGACTAGACTATAGACTAGACTATAGACTAGACTATACTAGACTATAGACTAGACTATAGACTAGACTATAGACTAGACTATAGACTAGACTATAGACTAGACTATAGACTAGACTATAGACTACTATGACTAGACTATAGACTAGACTATAGACTAGACTATAGACTAGACTATAGACTAGACTATAGACTAGACTATAGACTAGACTATAGACTAGACTATAGACTAGACTATAGACTAGACTATAGACTAGACTATAGACTAACTATAGACTAGACTATAGACTAGACTATAGACTAGACTATAGACTAGACTATAGACTAGACTATAGACTAGACTATAGACTAGACTATAGACTAGACTATAGACTAGACTATAGACTAGACTATAGACTAGACTATAGACTAGACTATAGACTAGACTATAGACCAGACTATAGACTAGACCATAGACTAGACTATAGACTAGACTATAGACTAGACTATAGACTAGACTATAGACTAGACTATAGACTAGACTATAGACTAGACTATAGACTAGACTATAGACTAGACTATAGACTAGACTATAGACAGACTATAGACTAGACTATAGACTAGACTATAACTAGACTATAGGACTAGACTATAGACTAGACTATAGACTAGACTATAGACTAGGACTCTAGACTAGACTATAGACTAGACTATAGGACTAGACTATAGACTAGACTATAGACTAGACTATAGGACTAGACTATAGACTAGACTATAGACTAGACTGATAGACTAGACTATAGACTAGACTATAGACTAGACTATAGACTAGACTATAGACTAGACTATAGGACTAACTATAGACTAGACTATAGACTAGACTAATAGACTAGACTATAGACTAGACTATAGACTAGACTATAGACTAGACTATAGACTAGACTATAGACTAGACTATAGACTAGACTATAGACTAGACTATAGACTAGACTATAGACTAGACTATAGACTAGACATAGACTAGACTATAGACTAGACTCTAGACTAGACTATAGACTAGACTATAGACTAGACTATAGACTAGACTATAGACTAGACTATAGACTAGACTATAGACTAGACTATAGACTAGACTATAGACTAGACTATAGACTAGACTATAGACTAGACTATAGACTAGACTATAGACCTAGACTATAGACTAGAGACTAGACTATAGACTAGACTATAGACTAGACTATAGACTAGACTATAGACTAGACTATAGACTAGACTATAGACTAGACTATAGACTAGACTATAGACTAGACTATAGACTAGACTATAGACTAGACTATAGACTAGACTATAGACTAGACTAAGACTAGACTATAGACTAGACTATAGACTAGACTATAGACTAGACTATAGACTAGACTATAGGACTAGACTATAGACTAGACTATAGACTAGACTATAGACTAGACTATAGACTAGCTATAGACTAGGACTATAGACTAACTATAGACTAGACTATAGACTAGACTATAGACTAGACTATAGACTAGACTATAGACTAGACTATAGACTAGACTATAGACTAGACATAGACTAACGATAGACTGCTATAGACTAGACTACTAGACAGACTATAGACTAGACTATAGACTAGACTATAGACTACTATAGACTAGACTATAGACTAGACTATAGACTAGACTATCTAGACTATAGACTAGACTATAGACTAGACTATAGACTAGACTATAGACTAGACTATAGACTAGACTATAGACTAGACTATAGACTAGACTATAGACTAGACTATAGACTAGACTATAGACTAGACTATAGACTAGACTATAGACTAGACTATAGACTAGACTATAGACTAGACTATAGACTAGACTATAGACTAGACTATAGACTAGACTATAGACTAGACTATAGACTAGACTATAGACTAGACTATAGACTAGACTATAGACTAGACTATAGACTAGACTATAGACTAGACTATAGACTAGACTATAGACTAGACTATAGACTAGACTATAGACTAGACTAGACTAGACTATAGACTAGACTATAGACTAGACTATAGACTAGACTATAGACTAGACTATAGACTAGACTATAGACTAGACTAGACTATAGACTAGACTATAGACTAGACTATAGACTAGACTATAGACTAGACTATAGACTAGACTATATATATATTGTTAGGTATAATGTAGTCTTTGCTTTAGTAATATAGAGCTATCTTATTATCTAGATCTTTTTTGTGTTTTGTGGATACATTTAAAAAGTTTAGAAATAAATGACGGTTTTCATATCTTACAAAAATAAAGCATAAGTATCTTTACACTACTCTTAATCGTATTAATTTAGTCAATTTCTTAAGCAAGCCATTTAATTTAAGAATTATTATCCTACTTTTGCTCTTTTAAAGTTTTATTACATTCATAAGATTTTGTAATTTATAAAATATCCCAAAAATATTTATCCCTCGAAGAAAAAAATGTATTTGTGAAAGCTCTCCAACATTATACAACATTTATAAAACATGGTAATAAAATTTCAATATCTTAATTTAATCTACTTCATACTACTACGACGTATACATTCCAAGTAGATAAATATATTTCCAAACATTTGAACAATTTACGGTTACAAATCCATTTAAATTTCGTACGAATTCCTTTGTTTCAGGGGCGTGTGTGTGGGTGGGTTGGTCGAATTTGTGTTTCATATGAAAATATTTGTTCTCATTATTTACAGGACACGTTTCTTCTATTTAAGTGTATTAAAATTTTAAATAGAACAAAACTAAAATTAAATTTTATTTAAGATTTTCTTGTTCTATTTTATATTGGCAAGTAGAACAAAAGGAATATAAAATAGGGGAAGAAAGTTAAAATAGAATATTTTGAGTTCAACTTATTGTGTGTGCAAGTAACAGGCGAGGGGTAATGTATAAGGAATCGGAGAGTTGGAGCAAAGTTTAAAAAACATACTTTAGGGAACTTTGATAAAAAGGAGAATTTCTTTAAAATTAGTGTTTTGTGATCATTCTGAAAAGAATTGACTAGTTAGTTAGACTAGTTTTGGGGCCTAACGTCACTTGGAGGATGGTTGG